AGAGATCTCTCGTCAGATCGGTAAGCCAATCCATAAAGGCGGTGTTTAGTGGGTAAAAGTCTCCAAATAACTATGAGCATTCACCGCCTCCCTCTTCCGTTTTCCGGAGGGTTGCCCATATTTGCTTCGGGCGCAAAAAAAAGCCTCCTTGAGTGTCAAGTGTGAACAAAAACATTCTGATAAAGTGTGAGTGTTTCATTATCCACACACGTAAACACTAAACAGTATTTATTTGTTCCAATGATTTCTAAACCACACGCTGGCGATCGTTCTTCTATATACAGTATAATGAAATTATACAATACGTATTAACCATACAGGATACAATACTACGGAACGCTGTTGGCCCTCATATCAGACTTGACATTGCATTAACAAAATGGCCCAAAATTGTAAAGGCGTCACGTAAAATGTTGCAGGCCATGTTGCGGGTTACTGTGCAGCGTTGCATCGTCACGTAGATTGAGTGTTCCGCGTCATGTTGCGGGACAAAATGTCCCCTAGTGTATCCGGGACTTAACTTGTAGTTACATAAGTCTATGTAACAAAATGCATTAATCTTATTCTAAAATACAATTAGGAATAAATAAATATAATTAAAAAAATTAACTAACGTTCTATCATTAAATTACTGCTATACCTATTAAAGGTGTGCATGATTATAGTAATGTATTCCTCAGATTAGCATTACATTTATAAAATTATATTTAAACATAATATTTAAAAAACATTAAATTTAAATTTAATAAGTATTGTATTTTAAGAAATGTAATAATTTATATTTTAAAAACAGGTAAACTATCGCAAATAATTACGAGGCCAGGCCAGATATCTTCGAGGACAGTTCGTTACAGGTGCGGGCCAGTCTCGCTAATGGGAAATAATTCCCAAGTTCGATCGGTATAACTCTACATGTAGTAATAGGGCGCACGGTTTCCTGGGCAGCCTCGTTGGCACATTACATAAATGTATAATTACAGGACTTTTCTGCGCGACTTCAGTGATTTGACATTATAAATTGTTTCAGTCGTGTCTCATACGAATTGTGAACCGATGTTGAACTTTTCGTAGATGCAATGTCATCGTTCAAAAAAAAAACATAAGATCAAATATACTCGCACAATAATACACTAAAACAAACCATGTTTACCGTGTATGTTATTTTAAAGTTTAAGTTACGTAGTAACATTATTTAATCTATGGTTTTAGTTTGAGCAACTTGATGTATAATTGCTGGACAATCAATGTTGTTATTAAACGTTTTACGTAGGAATATCATATCTAAATTTTTTCTACGCGACTTCAGTGATGTGCCATTATAAATTGTTTCAGTGGTGTCTCATAGGAATTGTGGGTTTAACCTATGTTGAACTTTTCGCAGATACAACGTCACCGTTAAAAAAAACATAAGACCTAATATACTCGCACAATAAAAAAATGAAACAAACCATTTATACATCGTATTACGTTACTTAAAAGTTTAAGTTACGTAGTAACATTATTTAATCTATGGTTTTAGTTTGAGCAACTTTTTATTCAACGTACATAGTTCATCAATTTATTATTCTCTTTTTGATGTTACCTTATTAGGTAACTTTTATTTTTATATTTCCTTAGTTTTCCACTTTGCTCTCTGTTCTTTTTTGCGAATGAACGGGAACGTCAAAGAAAATGAAAAAAATGCGAACGAATAAACGGGATATTGAGAGACATTATAAGTGGCTATACCTCGTTAGACATTTACGTGGTTGAGCCACGAATGGATCGGCTCTACTGGGGTAGCACCACGCTCTCACAGAATACCAGTGTGAAATAGCAGCTTAATGCTGCTGTGTTTCGTATGGTTCGCTGGAAACTATGTTGATTATTTATCAATGATAGAATGTAGATGTCTATCGGACACAACATACACTTCCAGTGGGAATGAACCTAATGAGGTGGACTGTCTGCTCGTTTGTCACCCTTATGCTATATAAAAACAAAGACCATAACAGGAGACCCGACGGGACGAGTTTGGTCCTTTAGTAGAGAGGTAAAATCCAAGTGTAAGATGCTACGTACGTTCAAACTCTGGTAGCTTCTCATCCTAAAAGTACTTCGAATGGGGGCCAGGTGGCGTTAGAAGCGGCTAAACTGAGTAAATGTAAATATGAGTCTAAGAAAAATTTTTAAAAATTCTTTATTAGAGAGAGAGGAAATCTTCAAAAAGACACATGTCAAGTCGTTGTAAGACCCGTAGTGTGGGATTTTTATCCACTAAAAGTTCCTCTCTGTTAAGAACCCAGCACCACGGGATCGCGTTAGCATTACTTTATAGTGCTGGTACTCCTTTTTATGGCTTCTTAACGCAACAACTCCTCCATTTCTTCGTTAGCAAGACCTCCCTTTCATAACCCGTCATCGCTGTCCAGTTGTCATTCGTTGTCATCATCCAAGGGACGACCTCTTCCAGCCGCTGAGGCACCCTCTTCTTGCTCTGACAGAGTAGCCGTGTTTCAGATCCGCGCTGACAGACAAAGAAGAGAGTCTAAGACACATGAATAAATATTTGTGCTACTTGCTGTAAGGACTATCGGTGCGTGGTGTCTAGGTTAAATCCCTAAAGGAACTGTATCTGCGAATTCACGTCGCTGCTGGTGATAAGAGGGCTGTCTCTTTTCTCTGTCAAAAGCTAAGTACAGCAGTTCAACGAAAAACCGCAGCCAGCGTTCTTGGAACTTTATCGCGGGAAAGAAGACTACGATAATTTAAGTTTTAGTTTTTTTTCCTTCTGAAAATTTCGGTCACGGCGGCCAGTCTCAATGAACGACTAGCCATCAGCGCAGGACAGGCCATTGCCTCACTCTCATAGTCCGTGGCACGACAGAAACACGTAGAATGTGCTTCCACGGGGGTGAATGACTCCGGGCAGCTACTTAGATTTTCTTGGCGGAAAAGCTCAATAATTTTTTCGGCCCGACCCGGGATTCGGTCCCAGGACCTAATGATCAGCAGTCGCACTACTACAACCACTGGACCAACAAGGCAGTCAAACGTCAGAGTCAAAGTCAGTCAAAGCGAGGTCGTTTCATGTACAAAAAGTTGGAACAATAAATTGCAAAGCGGCAATAGCCTTATGGTTATAGAAGATACGAATTGTAAATTCGAAAAGGCATGGGTTCAATTCCGCCATTAGAGTACTATCGTGGACCATTACCAACACACGCATTTAAACTTCACCGGCAGTGGTTACTGAGAGTGTTGGTAATGTTAATAGTGTTAATTTTTTTATAGAATAAGGGTGATAAACGATCACAAAGCCCACCTGTTTGTAAGTGAATGCTGTGGCCCATAAACATCTACAATTATCCTCGATTACGAATCAAAATGCAGATGCGTTGTCACCCGTGAGGACTAAAATGGAATGCCTCGTTTACAGAAAATAAGGGTCTCCGCATCTCTACACTCATCATACGAAACATATATTTTACGTTGGTATTCTGTAAGAGCGTGGTCCTTCTCCCGGCGAAGCCGACCCATTCGTGCTACAACCATAATATAGCTGCAGAGTGGCTATACCACTTATAAAATATTCTTTCAATAAAATGTCGGCCAAACAAACTCGTGATCCATGCGGAATTCGTCCCGCGCCATATTTGCCGTATGTTATAAATTTGCAAAATTTACAATATTATAAAAAAAAACTACTCGCGTTAGACTTCCACTTAGAATTAGTTAAATTAACATTAATATAATCCTTCGTACTCGTATCATATAATCCTTTCGAACTACTGTTCTGAATCGGATGGTCACTTGTGATGAAGCGGATCCTGTATAAAAATAAAGTTAATCACTACGGATTGACTCGGAGATGGTAGTTTAGTGGTGGCCGTACCCCTCCTACATTTACAAATTTCTAAAACTTTTTTTAAACTTTACCCCCCATACTATGATTTTATCCTGTATCGCGGTGACAGTTTACAAACATTATACATGGTAGAGCTACGCTGCAGCTATATTATGTCCGTAGCTTTCTTTTTTTAATAGAATAAGGATGACAAACGAGCACACATTCCACCTGATGGTAACTGGATGCTGTAGCCCATAGACATCTGTATTTATCCTCGATTAGTAATCAAAACGCAGATACGTTGTCATTCCTGAGGACTAAGATGGAATGCCTATGGGTTACAGCATCCACTTATCATCAGGTGACCTGTGTGCTCGTTTGTCACACATGTTCTATAAAAAAATGTTTATTGAAATCTTTTAAATCTCAAGCGTATCAGTGTGTGAGCAGTCTACTACTGGATGTAGGTCACTCACGGCGTAAAGCTTTACTACGTGGAACGACTCTTACTAACACGTTTATTAGCTTCACGGGAATCTATCTATCATTGTAACGGAATCTTTTAAGGTAATTTACACAAACATATAGACTAGGCTCAATTTACACTGCTGCTAAACGAAATGGAAGCGAGTTTTCGTCACGAAATTGTACATAGTAAAATGATTCTTATGTTAATTGCGTAACACGCAAACTAGATATGAGCCAAAAAAGAAGTCGCGCGTCTTTCAGGGAATTCTCAAGGTTTCTTGTAACTACTGTCGGTGAAGTCTGTTGAATTCGAGTGAAGTGGCGCGAAGGCTGTCTAATCTAGATTAGCTTTTCTACAGCCCCAAGGCGATTGTTACGTAGCCCGAAGGCGAAGTGACCCGCCTCGCTGCGCATCGAGGCAAAATTGACGCTTTCGTTCCATTCCATCCCGCCACAATGTAAATTGAGCCTAGATGGAATATGACATTCCATATTGTTTCCAATAAAAAGCGTTTCCGGTTCTCTATACTCACCATACCAGACAGGGCAAGATTACCTGCTATTTTACGATGGTATTCAAATAAACAGCCTGTTTAATAGAATGAAGTATTTATTTTTAAATCAAATGTTACCAACACTTTCCTTGTATGGGTACCTATGTACAATAAAAACAATTTATAATACTAAGCTAAGTCTCAGGTTTTCAATCTTCGTAGGTATCGAAGTCAGGATTTCCACTAGAGAGCACGTTCATCCACCACAGCTTTGATTCTTCGAATTGAGGAGGTTCCTCATGTATCCCGAAGTTCTCTACGACATGAATAGCATCGTTTACCGGCTTAATCTGAAAACCATATGACTGAATTTAATAATATGATTTTCCAAAGTAAAACAAACTTAAATCTATACTTAATATTATAAAGAGAAAGTGCGATATTTGTATGTTTGTATATATATGTACGGTAATCTCCGGAACAACTATTTTAAAAATATTATAGCTCAAAGTTAGGCAATCGTCGCACCACTAATGATGAACGAGAAGCGACTAGAGCTATAAGCTAGATAAGATCAGCGAGAAACGAGTGTGTAGCTTTTTTATAAGTTAAGGGTGACAAACGAGCACACAGTCTACCTGATGGTAAGTGGATGCTGTGGCGCATAGACATCTACATGCTATCATTTATTAAGAATCAAAATAGTTTTCAGCTCACAATACGAAACACAGCAGCATCTGCATCTATCCTCGATCCTCCTCCATCGATTACGAATCAAAATGCAGGTGCGTTATCACCTGTAAGGACTGAGATGGAATGCCTCGTTTCCAGTAAAAAGGGTCTCCAGTTATCTACGAGTACACTCACCATACAAAACACGGCAGCATTACTAATATTTTACGCGGGTATTTTATGAGAGCGTGGTCCTTCCCCGTTCGAGACCATTCGTGCTACAGCTACAATATATCTTCAACGTGGCTATACCACGTTTGTCACTTTTGTTTGTCGAAAAAAATTACGTCACCTGCAACAGTTCGGGGCCGCGCTTCCTCCTCAGGTAGTTGAAGCAGCAAGTACGGAAGCGTCTCGTGCCGCAAGCGGACACGCACTCGCTGCCGCATGAGCTGCATGACGAGCCGGTAGCACGGAGGTGGCCTGTGTGCAGCAACATTAGATACAAATCTCTTATATTTACGCAAATAATATTTTTACGGATTTTGTCGCGTTTAATTTTAACTTTTTAACTTTAAGCCTACAGCCTGTAAATACACGTTTAAGATCATCCCGCACTTACAAATCCTCGCAAAAGAACACCGATTTATGCCAAGGATGATTTGCGAGGCTTAAATAAAAAAAAAATGTCTTACCAAGTTACTTAGCGTGGTGGAGCCATGCTGCAGCTATATTAATTGTATAGTTGTAGCCCGAATGGGTCGGCTCGACCGGGGAAGGACCACGCTCTATAGCATCTATAGCTAAATAGCAGCTTAATACTGCTATATTTCGTGTCGTGAGTGTAGAGATCTGGAGACACTTTTTTACTGGAAACGAGGCATTCCATCTTAGTCCTCGGGGCTGACAATGCATCTGCGTTATGATACTTAATCGAGATCTTACCATCAGGTGGACTGTGTGCCCGTTTGTCAACTTTATTCTATAAAAGAAAAGCTTTCTAAAACGTTGTTGCTGTAAGTAAAATTACTGTGGAGAACTTTAAATATTACATTTAAAAGAAACAAAATTAGTAACCGACCAACAAACATTAAAGCGAAAATGACAAAAACTTTCAACATGTCGATGTTTTTGGCACCAATTTTTGTTCCCACAAGATGGCCAGCGATTAACTGCGGAATATCAGACACTCGCCTCTTTTTATATAGAACAATAGTTTACTTTGCATTTTGAGTGACAAACAGACGCTGTATCTATGACGTCACTTCAAACGCTGTTTGGATTTTCTCAATGCGAATAATACATTTGCTTTTACTACTAGAACTAGAAGTGGGCGTCCACCGATCATCCGACGTAGGAGAACGATTATAGGCCCAGTGGATATTTTAGCTTAGATCGATAGTCTAGTTTTGTTTATTCTACAATTAGATAGAAAATTTACAAATCTTTAAATAAAGTTTAAAAAAATTACACAAGTAGACAAGTTACAAAGAGTGCCAACGAAAGTAAAGTTTAAAGTCCGGAAGTTTTCCCTTTCTCTAATAGTTTCAAAGGCCTCTGTAGTGAATCCTGGATCACATTGAATACATTGATACCAATTGCATATTGTTTTTGGGTGTGGCAAAATATCTTTTAATACATTGCGCACATACTCATATGCTCGCGGTGATAAATAATTTAAAGTGACTGCGAATTTTTTCAATTACAAGGAGTATTAACGCTTATCTTCTCCCATTTCTTTCTGTAAATATTTTTCACTGAAGCTAATGTTAGTAAATTTTCTTTTTCTATTTTGTCTTCATTCAAAAGAATTTCTAATTTTAACTTTAAATCCAAATTTTTATTTTTTAAACGTCATCGTTTGGAAATTTCTTGCAGTTTTTCTAAATCCTGTTCTAATTTAGACACGACTAATTACTTTTTGCTGACTTGGTGTTGAACTAAATCTAAGTGTAGTAGTTAATTTTGCACTAGAATCAAATGTGCTGGTTGATGTTGCACTGGATGGTGTAGGTGCAATTGTCATTATTATTTCATGCATTATTCTTTTCAGACATACTGGATGTTGATGCAGTTGCCAGTGTAGATGCAGGATAAACAATTTTGAATTTTAAGTGTGGGATACTTAATGTCAACAGTTAAAATATCATCATAAAAATAACGACACCGCGTAATCAACAATTTATTTTTTAAACAAATCAAAACAACAGTGATGTACAACATAAACAGGTTTATTATAAAAAGGATCTTATTGTATAATGTTTGTTATCCCGCACATGTAGTGGAGATATAGCATTTTATTTAATTTCAGCCTGCGCCATTTGTGTTCAAAATTTATAAAGCAATCATCTTTAAAATGTCAGGAACAAATACGGTGGTGCTTTTTACACTCCCAATTGCGACGTGCAATAGCGTCGATCCATTTTTGTCTTAAATTGAAGTCCGTAGGAAAACAGTAATTTAGTCTTAAAACTATCGATAATTTATGCTAGAAATATATTTTTCCAATACTATTGCCAAAATTTTAACTAAAATTTTTAAACAACAAATATTAAATCTTATTACTTTGAAATATGCAAAAATCTTAATTTATTAAAAGATTGTTCGAATTTAAGGTAAATATGACAAAAAGCGTGTATTTCTATCAATCGAAAATGCCTGACTTACCGGTGAAAGCTGTTTTCGGAGTCGTTTTCTTTCCTAGAGGTATGGGATTTACATGCCACTATAATGCAGGGCTTTGTTCTTTTTATTAATTTTTCGATTCACACTTTCACACTGCGAAAAAAATATTGTTACGCGCTCAAGTCGACGATACACTAGCGCCATCTAGTGTCAGAAACGAGAGCGAGGGGAGCATTGAGAAAATGACATCGCAAATCACTCAACCGATAGCGCCATCCGAAGAACTAAGTTTCTAGAAAATCTACACTCGCACACTCGTCCCTTTGCGCCAATTTACTTGAATATTCCGGATGCTTCTTTGCTAATTTAAATAAATAGGCGCTGCAAGATGCGATCGGAGCAGTATTGAAGTGGCGAAACAAGCGAAGCTTCGGAGCGGAATAAAGTGAATTAGTGTGTTTAATTATTAGTGTTTTTAACTTTAATTTGTGTAAAGTAAATTAAAGTGTTAATTTAGGTAATTTTATCGGCAATTTTTATTGTCACGAACCTCAAGCTCGTAACAATATAATTTCCAAGGGAAAACTCAATTTTAACAAAGCGTGACAGCCTTTTTTCTTTTTTTTTTTTTAACATGGGGAAATGCCTACGCATACCCGCCTCGCGGGGGCAAGGACGGGTTATGTCGGACTCGCACCGACTAAAACCCCATGGTGTTCCACCTTCGTCGCATATTGGCAGGGCTACGGAAACGCTTTCGCACACTTCCGCGGCCCTGCCAGCGACTGCCGCCCCAAGGCAGCACCTCCTCGGGAGAGGAATATTCCTCCCCGTTCTCCTTCCCAGGTAAGGCGCACCAGAATACATGGCACGCCTTCCTCCACGGCCTCCAATTGCATCTGCGCAACAGACGCCCCCGCGTCCGATGCGCGAAGGCCATGGGGCCAGGAAAAACGAGCACTTAGAAGTACTAGCCTTCCCGACCCCAGCGGCGGATCTGGTCTATGGCTCCGCCGCCAACCAAGATTCGGCTGCGGAGGATAGGGAGAGCGGCGCCTCGCAATACCGACAATCCTCTTCCCCCGCAGCCCCATCACCACCGCATCAACGGTGCGGCCCCGTTTGAGTCGCGGAGGATAGGGCGAGTGGCGCATCGCCATACCAACACTCCTCTTCCTCCGTGACTCCACCTCGGCTGCAGCGGTAGAGGGTGCGCGAGTCCCCACTCGCTGCAGTCCACCAGCACACATCCGAAGTGGGCTCCCCAAGCCCACTCGGAGTGGCCACCTCAGGCCGGCCCTTCACCTCGGGCCAGCCACGTGGGTTCCTCTTTGTTCACCGTGGGAGACCAAGCCACGGCTACTAAGCCCCCCGCCACGACAAGGCGGGAACCCGTTCGGGGGGGGAAGCGTGAGAGACTGAAGACAAGCCAGCGTATTATACGAACAATTTGAGATGAACATAGCCATAGGCAAAAAACTTTTTTAAATCATTCTTTTTGAATTAGTATTAAGTAATTAGTAAAATAACATTCTTATTAAAACAAAGGTAACCAAGGTATCCAAGCTCAAGTTTGCCAAATGTACATTGGTACCTATTGACAAACATTTATTTATCTTTTTCCGACATACTTAAAAAAAGAGATGTATCTATAGCTATTAGACAGGCTTCTTCTATGCTTTAGTTATTGTTCTGAGATTATAAAGATTGTATTTCTTATCAATTATTCCATTATCGATCTTTTACAAGCTGATGGAGATAAAGATTTGGTACGGCAGTGGAACTGTCTAGTTTGCCTTTTGATATTTTCGCGCATTTTCACCTAACATAATATCCTATAACATTTAGTGTCTAATAAGTTTGACTGAATACGACTAATAGGACAGTGAAATAGACTTAACTTATAATCCCACATTGACATCAAGACATCAAACCACGACGTACACTTGATTTTTTTTAAAATTCAATCTTGATGCTTTTCCAATAAGTAATGATACTGTTTGTAAAAAACTTATCGATACATTTTTTCATTTGCTGCTTCCTATTTTGTCACTAAAATTAATTTTCTTTTTTTTTTTAAGAGTTATTCAAATTTAGAATCACAGATAATAGTTTATGCTTAAAATACGTTTTCCAATACGATAGAATATATAATATTGTGCTAGGAATATTGCCGTACGGTTAAAACTTTTTTATTAAAATATTATTATGACGACTTTTTTACTATTAATATTTTATGACAAATTTCGTTTTAAATTGACACATTAATGCACATGGAAAGACAGTTAGACCCGGGTAGTTTTTGGCGATTTTTAGTATCTAAGCGTAAACCGAAACGTTGGTAAACAAATGTATGTTTCGGGATTGAACCTACAGCTCGCAGCACTGTACTAAACGTTAAAACAGTTTAATCTTATTTATGCAAGCGCTCGAGAGATTTTATATTTCGTTAGAGATCTAGATATTGTTTGAAACGGGAGGCATCTGACCATCTAGCAACGCTATGTCTACATTTTATCATATACTAGCTTGCCAGGCAGATGTTGTTCTGCCCTTTTCGACGACCCTTTAGTAGTGTAGTAGTTTGTTATGTCCTATTAAAAATCCTTAAATTCCCAAAAAAAATTGTGGGTCACTCATGGGCAAAAAAAAACTATCCTATCTCTCAAGTCGGACCAAACAGCACACGGTGTGCAAATTTGATTAAGATCGGTTAAGTAGTTTAGGAGTCCATCGCGGATAAACAACGTGACACGTAATTTATATATATTAAGATTTACAAAACATAGGCGGAATTAGTTTAGACTTAAAACAATCGAATCAAAGCGCATCTTTATTTTCATTTTACGTACCTGCATTTTGTTTTTAAACTGGGATAAATGAATAGAATAGAATAAAATAATTTTTATTCTAAAATAATAAAATAATTACAAGTAATTCTTATTGAAAGTCAATTTTATACTTTACCACTGGTTCGAAGAAAAAGGGTTTCCGGTTCTCTACCTTACCATACGAAACACAGCAGCATCGATCCGCTATTTAACGATGGTATTCTGCAAGAGTGTGGTCTTCACCTATTCTTGCTACATCTATATTACTTATGTAGCTGCAACATGACTTTATCGCGTCTAAAATTTTAAATGGCTAAAACTTGTGTGCTGTATATAGCCTTTCTTGCTTATTTTTAGTTTAGGATGAGTAAGAGTCACTCCACATATCGATCCGTGGGTTTCGTAAGAGGCGATAGAGAAAAAAATCAGGAGATAAACAAATATCACCCCTATGAGAATCTATGGAATATTTGGAATCGATTACCACCTGCAATTTTTCCAAGCTGATACGACTTAGGGACCTTCAAAAATGAGCTCAATCCTTGTTTAAAGGGCCGGCAACGCACCTGCAATTCTCCTGGTGCTGTTGTTCATGGCCGGTAGTTGAAAATAACCATGAGCTGAACCACAAGCTAGTTTTTCCTCCACTTCTATAAAAACAAAGATGATGAAGAAATTATGAATTCTGATCAGTGCTGGTATTCACATTTACGCCAGAAGTATAACCCAGACCGGTGGTTGGGAGCGGATCCCTATTGTGAGAGACGTTCATCCACTTGATAACAAGACTATTAAGGCTTATCTTCTCTGCAAAGGCAGAGGAATGTGATTAGCAGTGAATCTTTGCGGGTGTTAGATTTTTATAGACAATAAGATGGGTAGGTAATTTAATAAGTAGTTTGAAAGGCAGTTGATATATCTTATTTTACTATTTTTCCTAAAACATTATTTAAAACTTTACCTCACCCACGCACTATGATTTTATCCCGTACCGCGGAGACAGTTTACAAACATTTGTGTGATAGAGACACGCTGCAGCTTTATTATCGTTGTAGCACGAATGCGTCATCTACATTTTGTTTCTTAATTGATGATAAATGTAGATGTATACGGGCCACATCATTCATTTACTGTCAGGGGGACTATGTGTTCGTTTGTCAGACTTATTCTATAAAATAAATGTTCGTTTAAATTTTTTAAATCTCCAGCGTATTAGTGCGAGAACAGTTTGCTGGATATGTGTTACTCACGTCGTTTTACTAGGTGCGGGGACTCTTGCTTAAGTTAAAGTTAAAGTTACAGCCTATATAAGTCCCACACAGGCCTCCGCTCATTTCTGAGAGGGTTTTAGGGCAAGGAATTGTCCGCCATGCTGCCCCAATGCGTATTGACGAACTTCACATGTCTTCGAAATATTTTTTATTCTTATTTATCAAAAATGCATGTTTCCTCACGACGTTTCCCTTCACCACCGAGCGCTTGGTAAATCAGCACTTAAAACTGCAATTAACAATTTGGTTGGTGCCGGCGGGGATCGAACTCTGGTTACTCTCGTACTGTGATTTTACGTTAACCATCTGAGCTACCACGAATCTTTCTAACACACTTTTACTAGCTTCACGTGGATCTGTCTATTTGTGTAAGGGAATCTATTAATGTAATGTACACCAACTTGTTGACTAAGATGGATTGCCATGTTTCCAATAAAAAGCGTTTCCGGTTCTCTACACTCACCATACGATACACAGCAGCATTAACCTGCTATTTTACTCTGGTATTCAATTGACTTGGTGTCACGACGCAAGTAGTAACAAGCAATTCTTATTGAAAGTCAATTTTACACTATACCACTGGTTGGAAAAAAAAACCTCTATCCTGGGAAGAACCAGCAAAAAATCCAGCAGGACTTTAAAAAAAAAATTACAATGTCAATGGTCATAAAATATTTACAAAATTTATTTTAGAAACAGCTTGGAAGCGACCACCTCATCCCCAGGGTTGATTACGGTATTCAATTGAATTGGTGTCACAAATAAAATGTCAGTTTAACATAATTTAGTATTTATTTTCAAATCAAATTTTACAAAAAATTCCTAGTATTAGTTTTTACAATAGATATAATTTGTATTACTAAATTAATTCCTATAGGTTTTCAATCTTCGTAGCTACCGAAGTCAGGATTTTCACTAGAGAGAACTTTCATCCACCACAGCTTTGGTTCTTCGAATTGAGGGGGTGCCTGTGTATGTATTCCGAAGTTCTCTACGACATGACTAACATCGTTTGCCGGCTTGATCTGCAAACCATATGACTGAATTTAATAATATGATTTTCCAAAGTAAAACAAACTTAAATCTATACTTAATACTATGAAGAGAAAGTGCGATATTTGTATGTTTGTATATATATGGTACAGAACAACTATTATTAAAAATATTATAGCTCAAAGTTAGGCAATCGTCGCACCACTAATGATGAACGAGAAGCGACTAGAGCTATAAGCTAGATAAGATCAGCGAGAAACGAGTGTGTAGCTTTTTTATAAGTTAAGGGTGACAAACGAGCACACAGTCTACCTGATGGTAAGTGGATGCTGTGGCGCATAGACATCTACATGCTATCATTTATTAAGAATCAAAATAGTTTTCAGCTCACAATACGAAACACAGCAGCATCTGCATCTATCCTCGATCCTCCTCCATCGATTACGAATCAAAATGCAGGTGCGTTATCTCCTGTAAGGACTGAGATGGAATGCCTCGTTTCCAGTAAAAAGGGTCTCCAGTTATCTACGAGTACACTCACCATACAAAACACGGCAGCATTACTAATATTTTACGCTGGTATTCTGTGAGAGCGTGGTCCTTCCCCGTTCGAGACCATTCGTGCTACAGCTACAATATATCTGCAACGTGGCTATACCACGTGTGTCAATTTCTTTTGTAGAAACAAATCACGTCACCTGCAACAGTTCAGAGCCGCGCTTCCTCCTCAGGTAGTTGAAGCAGCAAGTGCGGAAGCGTCTCGTGCCGCAAGCGGACACGCACTCGCTGCCGCATGAGCTGCATGACGGGCCGGCAGCCCAGAGGTGACCTGTGTGGAACAACATTAGATAATGATTTCATATGTTTATGCGAATACTTCACTAAATTTAAAATTTAAAAGCAAATTAAGAGTACCCTTAATTGATATATACGTAACATGGAGGTGAAAGCAGCGAGAGAGTCATATCGGAATTGTGCCAAATGGAAGTCTTTACTCTCTGCCTACCACTCTGTGTAACAGGTGTGAGAGTTTATGTTGTTTATTGCGATCCGAGCTGCGAGAAATTTGAAGAATAGGTTTTTAACGATATATTACTGTCGCGCTGTGTCCAAAGGACTGAGCTATAGGCAACTGAAAGGGACAATTGCAACTCCAATTGCTAATATTATTATAATAATTATTATACGAGACAAGACGGGTTTTCCACCCAAAAAAAAAAAAAAAATAAAAAACCCTAAAAAAAAAGAAAAGAAAAGCGGATCCAATTTATCCATAGAACCCTCCCCCCCTACCAAAACATAAAAATTGAGAATATCAATATCTCGTATTCCCCTGTTTCCTTCTCAAAACTGGACCGTTTTTTTTGCTGGATCTCTGAAAACACCGCGGCCGTATAACTGTACACTTGTTGTTATTTTAGAATATTCCTGTACATTGGAGTGGCGGTATAACAATATAGTCTATCCCAAACAATTCCGTGGATAACAGGCTTCTAACAGTCTTCCTGATGCTAAGTGGTCACTGAGGTCAGTGAACTATTAGACGCTGTTGTCCGTCACCTGGTCTGGATATGTTACTCGTACATCCGGCGTAATCCAGATAGTAGACTGGCAATTTTTCTGGTGTTTTGCTCCCAGTTACCCCTTGCGACGCCCATAGAACGAAATAAGGCGATAGACTCTATATCAGATTTTATTACGTGGTAACGCCACGCTGCAGCTATATTGTGGTTGTAGCACGAATGGGTCGGCTCGATAGAGGTAGGACCACGCTCTCACAGAATACCAGCATAAAATAGTCAATACTGCTGTGTTTCGTGTGGTGAGTGTAGAGATCCGGAGACCCTTTTTTACTGGAAAAGAGGCACTCCATCTTAGTCCTCAGGGCTGACAATGCATCTGCGTTTTGATTCTTAATCGAGATCTTACCATCAGGAGGACTGTGTGCTCGTTTATCAACCTTATTCTACAAAAAGAGCTTCCGAAAATGCTGTCTGTTACTTAAAATTTCTGAGGAGAACTTTAAATATAACATTTAAATAAACAAAATTAATTACCGACCAATAAACATTAAGGCGAAAATGACAAAAACTTTCAACATGTCGAAGTTTTTGGCGCCAATTCCCGTTTCCACAAGATGGCCGGCGATTAACTGCGGAATATCGGACACTCGCCTCTTTTTATATAGAACAATAGTTTACTTTGCATTTTGAGTGACAAACAGACGCTGTATCTATGATGTCACTTCAAAAGCTGTTTGGATTTTCTCAATTCAAATAATATGTTTGCTTTCGGGACTGGAAGTGGGCGTCTCTCGATCATCCGACGTAGGAGACCGATTATAGGCCCACTGGATTTTCTACCTTAGACCGATCACCTATTTTTGTATATTCTACAATTAGATAGATAATTTACAAAATTTTCAAATTAGTTTAAAAAAAGCTTTATTTAAAGTAAAGTCGGAAGGGGACGCCTTAGACGAAAGTTTATCGAGCAAATTAGCGATATATTGAAGATGGGCCAGATTAAGAATACCTTTAACCGACGATGGCGTATGTACTGTAAGAGGTATATGGATGTAAAGAATGCGAGAGAAGTGTGTCAGGATCGTGCTAAATGGAAGTCCGTAGTCTCTGGCTATCCCTTTGGTTGACAGGCCTTAGTGTTTAAGGTATATAGCCAAATTCTAATTAGATCTAAACAAACCAACAAAGATTTTTTGCCACAGCTTTAATATGGTTGTAGCACGAATAGGTCGGCTCGACAGTGAAAGAACCACACTCTCACAGAATACCAGCGTAAAATAGCAGCTCAATACTGCTGTGTTTCATATGGTGAGTGTAGAGAACCGGAGACCCTTTTTAATGGAAACGGTACATTCATCTTCGTCATTAGGGGTGACAAAGTATCTGCATTTTGATTCCTAATCGAGAATAAAATAAGAGGTCTATGATAGTGATGCAACGGAAGTGTCATATCGGAAACAGATACGGAAACAGATGTTAAAAATATTTTTTTTGCAGAAACGGAAACAGAAACGGATGCGGAAACGGAAATAATACTTATTAAAAAAATACAAATAAAACTTTTAATTGACATTCAAAATTAAGTAGCGGTAAGTTATATTTTATGAAAAGTAGTTCGGCCACTTTTAAACCTAACAATGTGTTCCAGTGTTCTTCATATATAAGTCCAGCCTCGAAAAATAATAATTATTGGTATAGCAATTATTGCTCACTGGCGATGCTGCGTACCACCTACACACCAAAGCTAAATTAGCACTGGAATTTGGGCAAACCCTTTAAAGAGCCACATTTAGGTTTAGCGAGTAGGTAATTTAGTAAAGCCCTAGCACGAAAGTACAACGTAAATAAACTTTGAATCCAAAATACTCATTAAAGTTTCTTTAAAATAATTATTTCTTACCGTACTGCCGTACCGTGCTTTCCAGTACCCGACGTTTCGGGTACTGGAAAGCACCCGAAACGTCGGGTATTAAAAATAACATAAATAAACGTGGTAAAATCCCTAAAAGTAGTTTACTCAATAAAAATATTAATTTATGCTTCAAGTAAAAAATAAATAATATAAACTTCACGCAAACGTAATTGCTACCCAATTAATTTGCAAATCTAAGTTATAACAAAGGCGTTTATTAAAAACTATTTTTAACTGGAGAAAACACGTTTTAACTAAAATCTGGTTTTAACTTTAACACAGGAATACATAATGGTTTCTTAAATTTACGCGAACACTACACATTGAATAAAACTAAATTTACGAATTCTATCGCGTTTATTTAACTGATTTTACTTATTTTTAATTCCCGATGTTTCGGGTGCTTTACAGCAACCATGGTCACGGGGGCGACTGAGATGTTTGACGTCCCAATGTCATTGTTAGCCCGGCTACCTTCAGTTTTTGAATATTATTTTTTTTTAATTAATATTCAAAAACTGAAGGTAGCCGGGAATACATTTTATAAATAAATAGGTATGCGATTCCTTGACTGGCCATTTGTTTTTTAGTTTGCGATGGAAGTTTTACAGTTTCAACTACTTCCCAAACTCAGCAAACTCTTCGGCGTTTAAGATGGCTCTTTAAAGCGGTAGTTGTGCAGCCTTTTCGCGAGTATATTTTGTCACATAGTTTACATCTGGCTGCTTAATCATCAATCTCAAAATAATAGTTTTAATAGGACTTGTTTCTGGCTTTATGATTGCAATTAAATTACACACACGACTTAAATTTCTAGTAAACTAAAAATACAATAAATCTATTTATGTGGATGCATCGCTGTCGCTGAGTCCCGTTCAAAATTCCGTAAAACTTGCGGAAACAGAAGCACAAACGGATGTTAAAAACCATGCAGAACTTCCGCAGTTGCGGAAACAGAAACAGAGTTCTGTTGCATCACTAGTCTATGAGCCACAACATCCACTTACCATCAGGTGGACTGTATGCTTATTCAATAAAAAAAACCACGAATAGAATGCGTCATAATATACGTGATGATGATATCCACTGTAGAATAAGAGGAACTGCATAACCCAACAGATCAGTTTAATATAGTGGCAACGGGTCAGCCAACGTTGTTGGAAGTTCCGACAACCGATGGGAATGAAAAGTTCTCGAACGACAGCTTTGGTAAGCAGTACTGGTAAGCCAAGTGTAGAGCTATCCCTCAAGAGATGGAGTGATGACCTGGATATGCAAGGAGTCAATGGATGCAGTTGGCTGAATCGTAATTTGTGATATTATTTTGGGAGTCATTGTTAGTTTGCTGATCGCAGGTCCGAATCCCGCACAAAACAAGTATCTGGTATAGTAGTCTCCATAATTATGAAAAATGGAAATGTGTGTGGGAAATTGTTTGATAAGGAAAGTGTATTTTTCAAGAACATGTTGTAACTGGGATCAAGAAAGGAATGCTTCGGTGACTTGGAAGACTTAGAAAAAATGAATGAGGAAAGAGTGTCATAGCAAGTTTATATTTTAAGGAAGTAACTATAAGGAACTATAAGGAACGCCCCACACGGAAGTTTTTTGACCAAATTTGTAATAATATATTGAAGATGGCCCAATAGAGAAGGTGCATTACATTTTTTCCACAAACTTATATATAAATGAAAGAATAAATCCTTTAAAGTATATGTAAATATTTTTTTATTAGCAATTCCATTTTTTTAGTAATTTTTAATAAAAAATAGTTACATTTTAGAATGAAAAAACGACTTGTGATTGGTTGTGAAGTCATTATATTCATTGAAGCTGTGAGTCAATCGCGATCATTCTATACTTTTGTTTTATCTATATTCGCACATGGCTGTGTTTAGCAGAAAAAAGCGCTAGCTAGCAAAGGAAGCGCTTGTAACAAGCAAAATGGCGATCGCTAAGCGGCAAGCGCTGTCAATAGCGCCATTTTCCTCTATGACGCTAAGCTTTAACCGGGGAACCTAACCTAATTTAAATATATTTGTAAATTATTCATATTAAAAACTTACCATTCATGAATAATATATTTGGACTGACATTGAAACTAATTGCACAAAACAACTTATACACTCTACTTCAAAACAAACAAAATAAATAACCAAAATGGCGGATTGTGTCAGCGCTACTGCAGAATTAGCAAACGTGTCCTGGCCGAAAACTGTACAGTTTGTTTTTCAGCGCTAGTAAGCGCTCACAAGCGCTTTTTTCTGCCATACGCACCCAATATGTCATAACATAACATTTATACAACCCTTAGAGTAATAACATATTATATAGTAATTTAGTAATAGAACCTGTATTTTGCATTGACAATTTTTTAACGCTCCGGGAAGTCTGCAGTTTGTGATCATATCCTAGACGACCCCCACCATTACATAAGATTCGATGGACAACAAATTCTAGCGAAAGATCATCGATTCCTACTGAGGATGATACGTGAGGCTATTGAAATTAAAAAATATCCTAATTTCAATAGAGAAGAAGACTGGGTACTACAACCTGCTTGGGACCCTATAATTAATAAAATTAAAACCAAACCCGAGCATAACACTGCTAGACTTCAAGACACAGTAAATTCATTCTGCGAAGGTCGGACAATAAATAATAATTAAAAAGCTGAAGGTACTTCGGGTTAACACTAACATCTGGACGTCAATCACCTCAGTTTTCCGTGACCATGGTGTTAGGAAGCACCCGAAACGTCGGTAATTAAAAATCAGATAAATTAAACGCGACAAAATTTGTAAAAGTTGTTTTATTCAAGAACTATCAAAATTATGTTTTACAATAGACCATGTCGCTTTACATTTCTTTTTAGAGTTAAAATATATTTATTATTATTTATTCGTTGAGATTTTGATACACATTTTTTAATTATTTTAGAATATATTAGATAATTTTTCTTGTAAAAGTTTTGCTTATAGCATCATGTTGATATTTATAATATAATATTCTTTTTTTAATTCACGATAATTTTAATCCTTTACTTATCCATTTATTCTTTACAGGTTTATTACGTTTCTTAACCCGTATTACGGAAAAACATAATTTAAAAAAAATATAGGTCATGAAAAACGTTAACGACTTGTTGCAGCATGTTTGTATAATTTATTACTATTCTATATATTTTATATTGGACGCCATCGTCCAAGACGCTTGGAATAAAATTTATAAACAATTAGTATTTGTTGGTACTTATTAGTTTACAAGAAGCGCATTGAACGATAGTTTCCAGATCAAATAATGATAAAATACCATAGAGTACTATAATACCCAATAGAATGGCTGTCAACTTTATTTTGTACGAGTTGACAGACTGGATAAATTTACACATTTTAGACTTTTGATTAATGTTCAAAATCATCATTAAAAAATCGTTTAAATTTTAATACATATTTATTTGTAAATAGGGTGCAATTTGGCATTTTCTAAATAATTTGCATGCGAAATTTGGAAACGATTGTAACGACAAAACACATCTCGTGTTGACATTTATACGTGTGAATTGACGTGTTAGTGACATTTTAGTGGCTACGCGGGCTCCGCCCACTCCCCCGTTCTACTATGTATGTATTATAGTATTCTATGTGAAATACTTTTAAACTTGAAAAAAAAACTAGGTATATACCTCGGTAGGTATATAGTTAATTTTCATGGTGAAAAATAAGTATACGTCGACTCGTAAGTAAGCATCTATAGGTATAGGTACGAGTCGTATCATGTTGTACCTGTCTATAATATAATATAGGTATCGATCGCCACACTAGAAGGATCTTTTGGTGCACCCAATTATTATCTGAAATTATTTTATAAATAAACGCTGGTTATATCAATCAATTACAATATATTTGTTTACTACGTAGATGTATTCAACTATTTGTGGGTTTTGAAATAATCCTACACTTATGAAAGTGCGATATATATATCGTTGATATTTATAAATCGCGATATATCGATATTCAATATTTATCGTGGAGTATCGAATTCTTATTAATTTCGATATATTATTTTAAAATGTTGTATTAATCGACAAAACGTTAAGCAACAAAAGAAGCTACAAAAAAATTAATGTGTAGTTGTCGTTTTTTTCATCATCCAACCTTCCAGTAATACCATTTTGAGCCTTATCCTACAACATAATGTAAAACAATTTTCATCGTGGTAGAGCCACACTACAGCTATTATAGTTGTAGAATGAATGGGTCAGTTCGACCGGAGAAGGACCACACTCTCACGGAATACCAGCGTAAAATAGCAGCTTAATGCTGCTGTGTTTCGTATGGTGAGTGTAGAGAACCGGAGACCCATTTTAATGAAATTGAGGCATTCCATCTTAGTCCTCAAGAGTGACAACGCATCTGCATTTTGATTCTTAAGCGAGGTTAAAAATGTAGATGTCTGTGGGCCACAGCATGACGATATATCGATATTCATCACGTGAATATATCGATACTGTTTAAAAATATCAATACGATATATATCGATATAGTTTTTCACTTGTCCATCCCTACTCATCGCTATTTAAACGAAATATTGCAAGCAGCTAGTCGAACACGCGAGGGACCCCGTTTGCGCGCCGATCGCCCGCCTGCGTCTGCTTCACCCCCTTAAAACCTACGTGAACACGATACCATTTCGTCTTAATGTTATTTTCATTGTCATCTCTCACAATCTCATACCATAATTTTATAGGTTTAATGTTATTGTTACTTTTTGGAAGGTAGAAAATTAACAATTGACCTGTATCGTGGTCGGAGAAAGCAAGGCTATGTACCTATTAATTAATAGAATCAGGTGTTACTTTGCGGAGTGCATTACACTAAAGATATTAAAAGTTACTTTGCAACCATCCGCTTAATAATTGTCGAGCGGATGGCTGAGCACCACTGTGAGTTACTATGAGTTTTCTTCCTTGCGCAACTTCTCTGTGGAATTGTTTACCACTTGCGATTTTTCCGGACCGATACGACTTAGCGAATTTCAAGAAAAGAACTTACTCCTTTCTAAAAGGTCGGCAGCGCACCTGCAAATCCACTGGTGTTGAGGTTGTTCATGGGCGACTGTATTGGCCAACGTGTAGAGGCGACATAAATCAATTTCATTCCTTAAGCTTCTAAGTGCGTAACAGGCAGAAGATATACACGCATCAATTGTGGCCAGTTCTTCGCAGTTTATTTGAGAATCTATATATTTATTCCTAGGAATTAAAATCAATAAGTGGGGGCACATAAAATTATATTTGTGTTTATTATTTCAAATAGTTTCTTTTATTAATTGTATATATGAAATCGTTTAACTTTAAAAATATTTGATCGATCACCATGAAAATTGGTATATATTTATTATAAGGTATATTTCAATGGAAATTTTTTCATAAACCAAAAAAAAATACCAAAATATTTTTTTCATTGTTTTAAAAACAGACAAAATTTAAAATTATTGATTTTATTTGATTTTTTTTTCAATCAAGCGCGGTAATTAATAAATTATATAGCATGCGCTAAAATAAAAAAATGTTGCTGAACATAACCTATAATATTAACTCGCAGGACTACGTCTGGGGGGTTCAGCTGGTTCAACATAATATTATCCTGTTAACTTCTTCACAATATGCTGATGCGTCACGTTGCGCGGTTTTTAGGGGAATTCGACGACAACTTAACCACGTGGACAGTCGATGACGACAGTATCTCAAGTTCTTAAAGCTTTTAAGCAACTAGGGGTTTATATTTACATCGAAGCATTTGCTTCGTCATTTCACCAATACAGTGGACCACCAGTAATCCGATAAACATTTTGCATAGCAGTGTCGAACTGTCGAACTATCGAATTTGTCGGATTATAAGGTACTGTCTAAGACTCCCTATAGTCCGGAATTTTTTACAAAAGAGTATCTTGTAATCTGACAAATTACAAGTCCAATAATAAGATTCTATATGTTATATACACGTACTCATCTCTGAACACACGCTAGGCCGCACCGCTATCCTCATCACATCATGTAGTCAAATTCAAACTAAGCAATTAGAAACAAAACAATACCCTACCCGTCGAGCTCAGTCGTGGTGGTGGGTAGTGATGCAACGGAAGTGTCGTATCTGTAGCAGAAACGGAAACAGATGTTAAAAATATTTTTTGCAGAAACGGAAACAGAAACGGATGCAGAAACGGAAATAATACTTATTAAAAAATTACAAATAAAACTTTTAATTGACATTCAAAATTAAGTAGCGGTAAGTTATATTTTATGAAAAGTAGTTCGGCCGCTTTTACACCTAACAATCTGTTCCAGTGTTCTTCACTGGCGATTCTAATTGCTCACTGGCGATGCTGCGTACCACCTATACACCAAAGCTAAATAGGCACTGAAATTTGGGCAAACCCTTTAAAGAGCCACATTTAGGTTTAGCGAGTAGGTAATTTAGTACAGCCCTATCACGAAAGTACGACGTAAATAAACTTTGAATCCAAAATACTCATTAAAGTTTTTTTTAAATAATTTAATTAAACTTCAAGTAAAAAATAAATAATATAAACTTCACGCAAACATAACTGATAACATAATTGGAAAAACGATTTGCAAATCTAAGTTGTAACAAAGGCATTAATTAAAAACTATTTTTAAGTGGAAAAAACTGCGTTGCTAAGTTCCGTACAAAATTCCGTTATAAAACTTGCGGAAACAGAAGCACAAACGGAAGTTAAAACGATGCAGAACTTCCGCAGTTGCGGAAACAGAAACAAAGTTCTGTTGCATCACTAGTGGTGGGTACAAGTTGTAACTTGTTCAAGCATTCATTAGCAAAGATTGTCAAAAAGTATTCAATAATAAATAATAGATCATGTCGGATTACAGGGGGTGCCGGATTAGACAGGGGCTGAGAAGCGATGCACGGACACATAATGAAACTGAATAAAACAATCCGACGAAAGGTTAAATTCCCGCCAAAACACCCTTTACAGTTACTTGCTACATCTATCTCTATCTAAATATCTAATTACATTTCTGTTTGCAATGTCAAAATAACAGCTTTTTATTAAATGCACATGAAAATATATACGTTACTTAAAACAAAAAAAAAAAAAAAAACTATTCTTAAATTTCTCTCTGCGCCTGTTCCAGCTAATATCCGAAATGGCTGGATCGATTTTAATGGAAATCGATTTTAACGGGGATTTTCGCTTGAATATAACTGATGTTTTAAGGAGTGATTTATGTTACTTTTATTGCTTTTATTTAAAAAAAGTGTACAGAGTAGTGCAAAATTCCTTTATTTAAAAAAGTTGTCGTAATTTTATATTCAGCCAGACTTTAGATACATCAAAAAATAAATAAAAGGATCTTTCAACCTCGTTATTTACTAAATATGCATATTGAACTAATTGGCTCTAGTGTAAGGCCTTATAACATAAGGTGTTAAGCTTCGCAGCGAGTCTTCTGCATCCTGGATTATGAAGACAGCCTTGCGTATTTTGTAATCTTCTTGATCATTATCAGGAATATCTCGGATCTGAAAAATACAGTTAATATTGTTTTATAGTATAGGGTTACAAACGAGCATCTAGTCCACCTGATGGTAAGTGGATGCTGTGGTCGATAGACATCTACATCTATCCTCGATTAAGAATCAAAATGCAGATGCGTTGTCACCTCTGAGGACTAAGATGGAATGCCTGATTTCCAGTAAAATAGGGTCTCCGGTTCTCTACACTCGGCATACGAAACACAGCAGCATTAAGCTGCTATTTCACGCTGGTGTTCTGTGAGAGCGTGGTCCTACCTGGGTCGAGTCGACCCATTCGTGCTACAACCAAACTGCAGCGTGGCTCTACCAATTAGAGCCTAGCCTGACATTACCACGTTAAATATTACTGATCTTTGTGGCTTTAAACATAGTTTCAGTTATGTTTTACGATTAGAATAAAAACTTATTACAGTCCTAACTATAGTCTTGAGGTTAAAGGAAACATTGACTGATTACTAACGCAAAAAACACCAGTGTATTTGATACCTGAACCAGTTCCGGGCCACGTTTCCTTCTCAAGTGGTTGAAGCAGCATAATCTGAAGCGTCTGGTGCCGCAGGCCGAGACGCACTCGCTACCACACGAGTTGCATGACAACCCGGTGGTCCAGAGGTTAACTGCGAACACGGAAACACGTAATTAATTGACGGTGATCAATTGGTTTTACCATGAGCCCCTGGCGTAGAACTCCTTGGGAGTTTCGTCTCGTCGTGGGTGTCATAACAGGCGACGGGGTATCCCAAAAAGATTTCATGATCATATCATTTTGTAAATACTAGAAATAAGCTTTAGATAGTCCAAAGAGTCAGTAATTCTTTGATGAGGCAATGTATACACATTCACACACGGCGGGTTCGAATCCCACACGGAACAAGTATATATATGGCCTTAAAATAATTGTTTCGGGCCTGGATGTTTGTTCTTGTGCTATTTATGTATGTATGTAAACTGTCCCCACGATACGGGAGAAAGTTATAGTGTGTAGGTGAAGTTACCTAAAACAACATAGTCCCCGAAAATATGCAGGATTTATCTATCAAAAAGTTTAAATTTTTATTATGCATAAATTGCTTAACAAAGATACAAAGGGTTATTATATAAAGAGGCTTGAATACAACCCCTGGGGATGAGGTGATCGCTACTATGATGTTACTAAATATTTTCATATTTAATTGTACGACGTATAAAGTAAGTATATTGTAAAGAAATATTAAGTAAGATTATTAGAACACACAATATATACTTTTTGCCATGCAATTTTAATATGCAAATAGTTTAGTAAAAATAACAAACACTGACCGAACATCATTACTAAAAGAATTCCTAATATCTTCAACATATTTTACGAAACTAAATTAAACTTCGCGCCTTTGACATTTATCAAAAGATGGCCGCCACAGAATGAAGAAAAAGGCTTACTCTTGGCTATTTTTATAGAAAAAGTGAGTTTGTTTTGTATAATGGAAGGCAAACAAATGTTGAGTGTTTACGTCATGGCGCTATTTAATACAGTCATGGTGAATTTACTTATTGAAAGAAATTATATGCACGCAGTGTAAGGTTTTTTCTTTATAGAATAAGGTGACAAACGAGCACACAGTATGTGGATATTGTTTCCCATAGACATCTACATCTTTTCCTCGATTAAGAATCAAAATTAATGAAAATCAGATGCGTTGTCACACCTGAGGACTAAGATGTAATAACTCGTTTTCAGTAAAAAGGAACTCCGGTTCACCACACTCATCGTACGAAACACAGCAACATTAAACTGCTATTTCATGTTGGAATTCAGCGAGAGCGTGGTTCTTCCCCGGTCGTTCCGAGCAATTCGTGTTACAACTTTATTACAACTCCTGCATAGCATTACCTTTTAATTTTGTGAATTTCTATTTTCTATTTGCGGAGAACGGATAAGTCCAGATTTTCAGCTCAAATTTTCTGGTTGAAGTACTAAATTTTCGTTAATGCAATTTGTACTGCGTCTGTAAATGGTTTACACAGGAGATATATTTACGTGGTAGAGCCACGTTACAGCTATATTATAGTTGTAGCACCAATGGGTCGGCTCATAGAATACCAGCGTAAAATAGCAGCGTAATGCTGCTGTGTTTCGTATGGTGAGTGTAGACAACCGGTGACCCTTTTTACTGGATTCGAGGCATTCCATCTTAGTCCTCAGGGATGACAACGCATTTGCATTATGATCCTGAGTTGTTTATGGGCCACATCATTCACTTACCATCAGGTGGACTGTGTGCTCGTTTGTCACACAATGCTATAAAAAAAGATACCGGGACTTCTCGTATACGCTGGCGGTGAACACAGCGGAGCGAGCGCTTAGTTGCAATGTGAGGTAAATTCTCAGTGCAACACTGAAATTAATTTACAATATGTAAACAAGTCATTTAAAATATCCAACGGCATAGTGGAATCATAAGTAGACATCGGTAATAATTCGATTTCATTATAGAGCTTTCATTTCTTCACATCTGAATCTGAAGAGCCAGCATGGCACCGTTTATTTTCTAAATAAGTACAATGTGCTTTTTTGTTTCTATGTCCAAATCTTTTCAGTGTTTTAATTTTTGAAGGAATGAAACAATTACACTATTTTGATTTAAAAGTTCGATCATAGAAGTCGTACTTAATAATTGCGGTGTCTAATAAATAGTAGTAAAAATTTACTTTAAAATCTGTTTTCACGTCTGTTATCGGTTCGTTCTCCGCCTCATAATTAAAAAGTCCTTCTACGAGCGCGAGGACAGGTGTAGAAAATTCTGTTATTGCCTTGAATTCTTCCGCTACAGTTTTCGCACTGTCAAGGAACTCCCCAAAAGCGGAATCATTACGGAATTTAGATAAACTTATTTTTGCATTATCAATCATTTTCACCGCTTCTGACAATACGACGTCTGACTTTTGAGGTGCTTTGCTATAAATCTTGCATTTCACTAGTGCTGTCGACCTTTGGATGTGGTTCGACATGTACATACACAGTGGGACTGTGTGCGTGCCTGGCGGAGCGGGCGTTCGCTCGCGAATGACCGTTTGTACTTTTTTTAGAGACCAGCGGTCTTAAGTTTGTATAAAAAGGTTTATTATAATATTAAGGAATTTATGGATGATAATAATCCCTGGGGAGGGTGATCGCTACCAAGCTATTTCTAATTATTTGTCTTGTGTTGTTAATTGTAAACATGATTGTAAGCTATTATTGGAAGAAAAATAGTCCCGCTGGATTTTTGCTGGTTCTTCCCAGGACAGAGGTTTTTTTTGCGAACCAAAGTGACTTTCAATAAGTATTGTTATACTCTACATTGAATAAAAAAAATTCTGTTTCTGTTTATGTTTCTGTTCCAGTAAAAAGGGTCTCCGGTTCTCTACACTCACCATACGAAACACAGCAGCATTATGTTGCTATTTCACGCTGGTATTCTGTGAGAGCGTGGTCCTTCTCCGGTCGAGCCGACTCATTTGTGCTACAACTATACTACAATTAAATTTCATTATTATTTAAAACTTATCTATTTTATGAGTATTAAAATTAAAGTAGGTAGGTACCTAAGCGAATGAGCTTCGTTCGACATATCTTTTTTATAGAATAAGGGTGACTCACGAGCACACAGTCCACCTGCTGGTAAGTGGATGCTGTGACCCGTAGAGTACATTTACGTACGTACATTACACACGTAGTATGCTGTTGTCGTATAAACAAAACAATATATTTAAAAAATATTGATAACCGTGGTATACCAGTGAAAAATTAGACGTCCAAACCGATGCCTTCCTTTGTCCTAGTATCCACTCAAACTGAGCTAGTAGCAAGTAATAAACATGTAAATATAGGTACAAAGTATGTTTATAATACAAACTGATAAATAAAAATTTGTTATGAGTCATACGAGGGAACTCGAATGTAACAGATATACTTTGACAATGTGACGGCTGCGTTGCGCACTGGCTTGGCAATGAGTGGCTGCGCAGGGGGCCGCGGGTTCGAATCCCGCACGGAACAAGTATTTGTATGGCCTACAAATAATTGTTTCGGGTCTGGATGTTAGTCCTTGTGCAATTTATGTTTGTAAACTGCCTCCACGATACAGGACAAAATCCTAGTATGGGGGTAACTTTATAAAAAATACTGGTAAAAAACACATGAGTGTGCTTAGGCTGCCTAGTTTATTTTTATGTTGAAAAGTACTTCATCATTATGTTATTTGGACGATATCGTCCAAGACGCTTGGAATAAAAATTTATAAACAATAATTATTTGTTGGTACTTATTAGTTTACAAGAAGCGCATTGAACGGAAACGAAATAAACTAGGTACATACCTCGGTAGGTATGTAGTTAATTTTCATGTTGAAAAATAAGAATATGTCGACTTGTAAAGCGCTTATTACACTATACAATTTTTAGGAAATCTAATTAGGAACCTAAATTGGAAGCTAGTGATCACACTACACTAAATTGAATTCTAAATCGTGACGAACCGCATTCGTAAAGAAGTATCGACGGGGTTGCACGTTTGATCGATGGCGCCGTATTTATCAAAACAGCAGAAAATAGGACTTGCCTTAGCCGTGGTGGGAACAATGGATATTAAAAAAAGAGAAAAGAGTACTTGTCATTGAGAAAAAACTGTCCAATATGAATATAATTATATATTTTTAGATTCAAAGCAGTTTTTTTATAGGATAGGGTGACAAACGAGCACACAGTCCAGCTGATGGTAAGTGGTTGCTGCGGCCCATGGACATCTACATCTATCTCCGATTACAAATCAAAATGCAGATGCGTTGTCACCTGTGACGACTAAGATGGAATGCCTCGCTTCCAGTAAAAAGGGTCTCCGGTTCTCTACACTCGCCATACGAAACACAGCAACATTAAGCTACTATTTTACGCTGGTATTCTGTGGGAGCGTGGTGCTTCCTCGGTCGAGCCGACCCATTCGTGCTACAACTGTACTACTAATATAACTGCAGCATGGCTCTACCACCTATAAACAGTTTGAATATTTGTTAAGTTTGGTATCCAAACATATTGAAAAAGAAGTCACGATATTTCGGTAAAGTGTGAGTACCAAAGAATGTTTGATGGTGACATTACGTTTTATAGCCACCGGAAATTAATATTAAGATTTAAAGTACTGCTCTCTGATATCAGACTTCTATCAAAACTTCAAGACATCCGCTTGTATCAAAGCGCGGGCGCCGACTGGTTGTTCTAAATCGTAACGTTGCGATTACACTGTCCTAAATTGTAAACAATTTAGGAAGTAGAGCGATTGGGACCTCCAATTTGACTAAATCGGATCCTAACTGTTCTAACTACGATTACACCTTCCTATTTCCTAATTAGATTTCCTAAAAATTGTATAATGTAATAAGCGCTTAAGTATGCATCTATAGGCATAGGTACGATTCGTATCATGTTGTACCTGTCTGTAATATACTTATAGGTATCGCCACACGAGAAGGATCTTTTGGTGCACGAAAATATTATCTGAAATTATTTTATAAATAAGCGCTGGTTATATCAATCAATTACAATATTTTTTAATACGTGGATGTTTTCAACTATTAGTGGGTTATGAAATAATCGTACACTTATAAATGTGCGATCTGCAGCTTGTCGCTAGGCTTGGCTATATATATATCGTCAATATTTAGAAACCGCGATATATCGATATTCAATATGTATCGTGGAGTATCGAATTCGTATTAATTTCGATATATTTTAAAACGTATTAATCGATAAAACATTCTTCAAAATTCTTGTGTCGTTGTCGTTTTTTTTCGTCATCCAACCGTCCAGTAATACCATTTTGAGCCTTATCCTACAACACTAGGCAAAACAATTTTCATCGTGGTAGAGCCACACTGCAGCTATTATGGTTGTAACAGGAATGAGTCGACTAGACCGGGAAGCACCACGCTCTCACAGAATACCAGCGTAAAATAGCAACATAATGCTGCTGTGTTTCGTATGGTGAGTGTAGAGAACCAGATACCCGTTTTACTGGAATCGAGGCATTCCATCTTAGTCGTGAAGGGTGACAACGCATCTGCATTTTGTTTCTTAAGCGAGGTTAAAATGTAGATATCTATGGGCCACAGCATCCAATTGCGCGCTCCGATGCGCGCCGATCGCCCACCTGCGTCTGCTTCACTCCCTTGAAACCTACGTGAACACGAAACTATTTCGTCTTAATGTTATTTTAATTGACATATCTAACAGTCTGATACCATAATTTTATCGGTTCTGTGGTATTGTTACTTTTTGGAAGGTAGAAAATTAACGATTTACCTGTATCATGGTCCAAAAGAGCAAGGCTATGGTACCTATATTAATTAATGGAATCAGACGTTACTTTGCGGGGTCCAACATACTAAAGATATTAAAAGTTATTTTGCAACCATCCGCTCAATAATTATTGATTCAATAAGAGTAATTAGGTAACATTATGAAGGTAATAAAAACTCTTTTTAAGGATATGAAGTCAGGCGTCACCTTATATCTAGAGCCATTGATTACATTTATTTATTCTCATTTAACACCTAGACACCGTTCAGACACAGAATATAAACATTTCTTCTAACAAGAATATTGTGAAAAAAAAAATTATACGTGGTAGGGCCACGTTGCAGCTATATTATGGTTGTAGCACGAATGGGTCGGCTCGACCGGGGAAGGACCACGCTCTCAGAATACCAGCGTAAAATAGTAGCTTAATGCTGCTGTGTTTCGTATGGTGAGTGTAGAGAGCCAGAGACCATTTTTACAGGAGACGAGGTATTCCATCTTGGTCCTCAGGTGTGACAACGTATTTGCATTTTTGATTCATTGAGGATAAATGTAGATGTCTATGAGCAACTGCATCCACTTGACATCAGGTGGACTATATGCTCGTTTGTCACCTTACACTAAAGAAAACGAAAGCTTTGAGTTTTGCTTTAAATAAATTTGTGTTGTACATTAATTCCTTTAAGTCGGTGTGTAACTTATTAAATAGAGACATTTACTATATTGAATTTTGGAGTAATAATATTTTTAATGCCTTTCCACATATACTTTCTCCGAGCTCCCTTTCCTTTTGAGTTTCGTATTGTCGCACATACTTCAGTCAAGTGGCATATGACGATTGAAATATATAACCTTGGTACTGTTAATATGCCAAACTTTTTAAAGTGTTCTTTGCATGACTCACGTTGTAAGATCCTAAAAATAGTTCTTATTGTATATAGCATACGACTGAGTTCTTTCTGATCGGCTCAATTCACTGGCGCTGCGTAGGGATGTTGCATCCCTTTGCTTTTCTATCGCATCTACTACGGGGAGTGCTCTGAGAAATTGTTCGGATTAACTTCAGCCACCAAATTTTACGAACGCATATCGCGTCAAAATTCACGGTAAAAATAGTTCTTATAGTATATAGCATACGGCTGAGTTCTTTCTGATCGGCTCAATTCACTGGCGCTGTGTAGGGATGTTGCATCCGTATGCTTTTCTATCGCATCTACTACGGGGAGTGCTCTGAGAAATTGTTCGGATTAACTTCAGCCACCAAATTTCACGAACGCATATCGCGTCAAAATTCACGGTAAAAATAGTTCTTATTGTATATAGCATACGACTGAGTTCTTTCTGATCGGCTCAATTCACTGGCGCTGCGTAGGTATGTTGCATCCCTTTGCTTTTCTATCGCATCTGCTACTGGGGAGTGCTCTGAGGAATTGTTCGGATTAACTTCAGCCACCAAATTTCACGAACGCATATCGCGTCAAAATTCACGGTAAAAATAGTTCTTATTGTATATAGCATACGACTGAGTTCTTTCTGATCGGCTCAATTCACTGGCGCTGCGTAGGGATGTTGCATCC